CCGCTTCCCCTTCAACCATGCTTTTCTATTCCTTTTTCAAGACCCTCGTCGGGAAGCCCGTTGCCGTGGAGCTGAAAAATGGCGTTGTTATCCGTGGCGACCTGACCAGTGTCGATCAGTTTACCAACCTCAAGCTGGAGAACATCCAGGTTGTCGATGACCACCTCTACCCTCACATGGTATGTTTGGACCTTTTCTCTTTCCATCTTCCCCTTCGGCTTTGCGCGCGCGCGCGCGCGCGCGCGCGCGCGCGTGTGTGTGTGTGTGTGTGTGTGTGTGTGTGTGTGTGTGTGTGTGTGTGCACATGCAAATGCCCTTGGTTCCCCCTTGCCCACCTGCCTCCCGTCCATATCTTGCGGTCGCTCTTCCTCTTCTCTTTAGTCTCGCCCTTTCTTTCTCTCTCTCTCTCTCTCTCTCTCTCTCTTTCCGCCCCTTTCGACACTCACCTCTCTTTCCTCCTCCCTGCCGCTCACTCCCTGCCCTCCGCTCCCGGCATTTCCGACCCCCTCTGGCCGGCCTCTTCCCCTTCCCTCGCGTGATGCACGTGCAGTCCTCGGTCAGCAGCTGTCTCATTCGTGGCAGTGTTGTGCGCTATGTGCACCTTCGCCCGGACGATGTGGACTGCGACCTGCTGCAGGATGCCACCCGTCGCGAGGCGGACCGCCACAAGCAGGAGGCCGCCGCGGCTGCTGCCTCGGCGGCGGCCCCGAGCGCCGGTCGCGCTTGATGCCGTGTGTACCTCTCGCTGCGGCTCGTCTCTCTGGTCTTCTCCTGTTCTCGCCCAAAAATACACGGACCCATTGCCGTCGGCCTGCCCCGGGTCCTCTGTGGCTCCTCTCCCGCATTTGAGCTGCCCCCCCCCCCCCCCCCCCCCGGTCGGGGAGAAAGCCCATGGTGGCGAGAGGGGACAAAGGAGGTGCCTCATTTCTCAAGGGTATGTGTGTATTCCATTGTGGAAGGGCAGAGACCTGCTCTGCATGGGTGGTGATGGGCTCTTGCCAGCGCGCGGGCATGGCGAATGGCCATGGATGTGTGTGTGAGAGAGAGAGAGAGGGAAGATGTCCTCCCTCCTCTCCCCTCCCGGGGCCCGCCTCCAGCGCCGCTCTCTGTCGGTGCTTACCGCGCCTCAAACCAGACGATGAAGACCCCGGTGCTGCTGGGGATCCACCCCATCGGAGTGGTCGGCCACATGAGGGCCCGGAGCGCCTGCAGGGTCCTTGGGCCAGGGGTGTTCGGCCTGACGGTATTGTTGCTGGTGTTGCAGGAGCAGGTGGTTTTGGTGGAGCTGCTGCTGCTGCATCAGATGGAGCTGCTGCTGCTGCTGCAGCAGCAACATCTGCTGCTGTTGTTGCAGCTGAACATGCATAAAGTGCTGCTGCTGCTGCTGCTGCTGCTGCTGATAAAGATGGGGAGCCGGCCCCGGCGGGGGGGCTGCCCCTTCGTAGCCCGGGAGGAATGTGTTGGCCGCGGCGGCCAGGATGGCCGGATCCACCGGGCCATCCTGCTGGAGGGATGCCTGCAGCGCCTCCAGGTACTGTTGCTGCCGCAAGGCCTGAACATGCTGCTCATATTCGGCCAGCTGCCGGAGGTACTCGGCCCCAGGGTCGTAGTCCGCCCCGCCATGCGGGTCTCCGGCTTCCTGTCTATCGGCCCAGTACCACTGCTGATCGGGGTGAAGGGATTGGTGTGGGAGATGCTGTTGCAGCAGCAGCTGCTGCTGCTGATGCTGCTGTTGGGCGTGGTACTCTTGGTAATACTGCAGTTGCAGCAGCTGCTGCTGCTGCTGTTGGCTGACGTACTCGGGATAATGCTCTGCCGGCTGGGCCGACTGGTGGCCAAGAACCAGCTCCATCTCGAGGAGCTCCTCCAACGGCAAAGTGGCCGCCTCGTGTGGCAGCACACCAAGTGACTCGACCACCGGGCCGGCCGTGCGTCCGGTCGTGGTGGCCTCATCACGAGCAGCAGCGGCCAGGGCCGCCGCATGCTCGGCTCGAGCGACGGCCCTTTGAAGTTCGTCGGCCGCCCGCCCGCGCGAGGGGTGCTCCTCGGCATCGGCCCCGGCGGGGGCCAGTGTGCCGCCAGGCCAGCCGGCCATCGGGTCCTCGTCAAGCCGCGCCGCTCGAGCAGGCCGCTGGTCCGGCTGACCTTGCCCGGTGTGCGACGAGTCTACCGGCGAGTCGAGGACCAGCGAAGAGGAAGAGCACTGCCCCAAGCGGCGATGGTAGTGCCGCGTGTCGATGGCAAACGAGTCCAAGGCCAGGGGATGGCCATCGCCACTGGGGCCGGGGGGGCCTGGAGTGGAGGCGCCCGAGGCCGGGGGCGCACCCGAGGCCGGACCATCGGGCACCGGGGATGCCGCGGGCCCGGGCGAGGTGGTGGCATCCAGCGCCGGGGACATGCCGGGCGAGCCGGAAGCCGCGACCGCCACCCCCCCGGCCGGGGAGTGGTGGTGCGCCCCGAAGCCACTGGCCCCGGCAAAGTGCTTTCCGGCGCTCGATCGCCGGGTGAGCGATGCCGACCGGACGGGCCGCATCGGGCCCCCGGTGTCCGGAGGCCCCGGGGGGAGGGGCGACAGCCGCCACCGGTCAGGCCCGACATGGCCAAAGGACGAGGCGGAGGGCGAAGACGACGAAGGGGGGATCGGAGGCCGGCTCGAGCCGGGCCCTCGTGTCAGGCGGGACTGGTCGAAGCTGTGGCCGCGCATGTGCATCGGGGCCCGGGGGTCATCGAATGCCGGCGGTCCATTGGAGATACCGGCCGGCGAGCGGGAGGAGGCCTGAAGGAAGTCCAGCGACGGGCTGAAGGACATCGATCGGGGGAGGACCCCAAAGGCCGAGGGGGGCAAGTCCCCGGGCGGGTGCCCGAGCAGCGGCGGCGATCCGCGGCCCAACGGCGCCGCCGTCGAATGCAGCGCCGGATACGGGCTCCCGGCCGAGGCAGCCATGAAGGCGGCCGCCGAGTAGTAGGGATCGTCGGCCGGCGGCAAGAGCGGCGGCAGGAAGGGCGACGCGCGGAACATCAGCCCGGGAAGACTGGTCGACCGATTGTGCGAGGGGGAGACCGTGGCAGCGACGGCCGCCGCGGCCGACAGGACCACCGGCGTCCCGGCCAAGCCCAAATGCTCGAGGGAGGGCGAGTCCCCGCGCGAGAAGGAGGGCGACCGCGCCCGGGGAGCCGGCGAATCAACCGCGGCCGTGGTCGTGGCGGTGCCAGTGGCGGTGGCGATGCCGGCGGCCGAGCCGGCCGAGCCGGCCGAGCCTGCGCCAATGTGACCAGGGGACGCCTCGGCTCGAGCTCCCCGCGACCCCGGGCCCAGTTCCCCGGTGCCTGGGGCCCACCCCAGGGGGCTAGGTCCTGTCGGGCCGAGAGAGGCCCTGCTACCGGGCCGGCTACCGGCCGTCGGCAGGGCACCCGACGCGGCCGCACCATGGGCACGCGCGTGTGCCGGGGCCGTGGAGCATGCATGCGCCAGTGGAGACTCGGCCGCGGTGTTCAGGCCCGCGGTGGCGGCCACCCCGGGCCCGGACCGTGACTGGGCCGCTAGGAACCCGGCCCATGTCCAGGACCGGAAGTGCACACACACCAGAGCCCCACTCCCATCGGGCGAGTGGCGCGTCGCCAGGCGCTCGAGGGTCAGGTCGTCGGCCGGCGGGCTGTGGTCCACCAGCCGGGGGAAGATCAGCCCAGACTCCCGGCAGTATGACACGCTGGAGCACACGCCCGAGGGGTGGTCCTCGGGCGGCGCGGCGTACCCGGTCCCGGGCGAGGGGAAGTACGGTAGCCGGACCACCTCCTCAGGGTCATGCTGCTGGACATCGTCGGGCCCCGGGCGAGCGGGCAGGCGACGCCCCGGATCGCCGGGCGCCCCGGTGGCCGAAGTGCCAGGGGAGGGCATGTCGCCATTGCGAGGGCCGGTGACGGCCTCGACCTCGGCCTCGACCTGGATCCTGGGTGCAGCCTCGGCCGCGGCATCGGCCGCATCGGCGGCCCCCTTGGCGATGGCTGCCCCGTCGGGGGCAGCCTCATGACCGGGGCCGAGATCGCCCGGCATGGCCGGGACGCCGGCCGATGCCGATGGCCCGGAGGCCTGGGTCACGGCGTGCCAGCTCCCTCGGACATTCGGATAGCGGGGCAGGCTGCCGAGCAATTGGTTGGCGCTCTTCGGCGATGAAGACAGGGGGATGTAATAGGAGGAGGTCATGGAGGAGAGCGACGACGTGGAGGGGGAGGCGGACAATGCTGGCGACCCGGATTCCGGGGTGGCCCGGGCTGACCCGGGCCCCGGGCTGCCGGGATCCAGGCCGAGACTCCGAACGGCCGGAGCCCGGGGCGCGAGGCGCGACTCCACCGGCGAAGGGGTGACCAGTGCCATGTCGGCCGGCTGCTCGGGCGACCGGCCGGCGCTGGCACTCCCACCCGCCGACAGGGGAGTCAGCAGCATCGGCGAGGAGGCGGCCGCCGGCAGGGATCGCGAGGGCGAGGGCGCCGCCGGGTCCGATGCCGGGGGCAGGGACGCATGCGAGCGTGAGGCCAGCAACAATGGCTTCCCCGGTGTCCGAGAGCGCGGGGCCGTGCCCTCGGACGGGCCGAGCCCCGAGTGGCCGGGCCCTCCCCCGGCGGGCCCTCCCCCGCGGCCGGCCATGTCCGACGGCTCTGCCAGCGGGTTCGGGCCGGCGCCGGGTCCGGGGGCGGTCGGCCCGCCCGGGGCCCCAGCCACGCCGGAGGCGAAGGACAATTTGTGCAGCCGCGAGAAGGACAACCGCAGGCGCTTGCTCAAGCTGCTGAAGCGATTCCGGTATTGGGCCTTGGTGGCCGGGCTGCCGCTGTCGGCCGACGAGGACCCGCCGTCCGGGGTGAGGCAGCGCTCCGACCCCGGGCTCGGCGAGGGGGGGATGCTGCTGACCGAGCGCATCCCCGGCTCGGAGGCGGTCTTCAGCAGGGTGCCCAGGGCGGGGGAGGCCCCCGGGGCCGGGGGAAGGCCGCCCAGCGACCGGGTGCTCTGGTTCACCGGGCTGGCTCCAGCCGAGAAGGAGGTCACCGGCGGCCGAGAGGCCGGAGCAGTGGCGCTGCCGGCCGCCGCCGGGGAGCCCCCGGCAGGCTCCATGCCGGAGGCCGAGGATGGCAATTTGCCGGGGCCCGGGCCCCGGGGGTCTGGCCCGGGCCCCGGCATGTCGGCTGGCCGAGGCACCGTCGGCACGCCGACCACCAGCGTCGAGCAGGTCGGCATGGCCCGAGACTCGGGCGTCGAAAGGGCCGGAGGCCGAGCCTCGGGCCGGGCGTCCGGTCGATCATCTGCGCTCAGGGGGGCCTCGGTGCCGAGCGGCGACCGGCCGGGGGAGGTGGTGCGCATGTGCCCCGGGCCGCGGCCCGGCGAGGGGCTTGCCGATGGGCGCAAGCCTGGCACATCGGAAAAGGGCGATGGCGAGGTGAAGCAGCCCACTTGGAAGATGATGGGCGATGACCGGGGCGCATAGGCCGCCCGGATGTTGGCCATCAGGCGCAAGTGTCGCTGGGGGTCTGGACACGGCATGCGCCGGTGGCGAAGGCCAGACAGCCGGAAGGCAAGCCCCGGCATTGGCACCGGAAGGGGCAGCGCGCGCGCGCGGCAAGCAGGCCGGTTAGGCGGGGGAGGGAAGAACGGCAAAAGGGAGCGGGCCCGGGCCCGCGCCGGCTGGCAGCGGAGGGGGCGGCAAGCCAAAGGCACAGCACGCACCTGCCGTGAAGAAGATGATCCGGTGACAGCGTGTCATGCCGGGATCCACCACAAACAGCGCACACAGGGGATCCTCCTCGTGGGAGGCTGCATCCGGCAGGACCGGCCAGCGGGACTGATCGGCCGCGGCCTGGAGGTCCAGCCCGGTGTCGCTGCGCGGCGCGGCAAACACCTCGGGCACCACGCGGAAGAGGGACCCCGGGGTCAGGTAGACCCCGGACCGGGGGCCGGCCGGGTCGGCGGACCCCGGCGGCACGTCAGCCGCCTCCGAGGGGCCCGGCCGGGTCCACTCCAGGGTGGACAAGAGCCACGGCCACCGGAGGCACACGGAGAAGGCCTCGAAGAAGACCGACGCCGTGGAGAGCGGAAGCGGCCGGGGGGCGGCCGCCGGGGTGCCCGTGCGCGGGGAAGTGGGACTCGGTGGCCCGGATGGCCCGGCCAGCCCGGTGGAGCTGCCGGTGGCCGAGCGCCCGGGCCCCGGCGGGAAGTCCAGCCGGTCGGGCGTCGGGGCGCCGGGGTGGCGCAGCCCGGTGGCGGGGCCGCCGCCGGCGCCCGGCCACCCCCCCGGGTGCTCCGGCGCCGACACCAACATCCGCACGATCGAAGGCACCCCGATGGGCGGAGGGGTCGAGGACCAGGCGTCGCGGAAGGTGCGCTCGGTCAGCCCGCCAAACGGCGGGGCCGTGGCCGCCGCGAGGCACGGGTTGGCCGACGCGCCGCCCTGGGCCCAGCGCTGGCTGCGAGCTCGGAGGACCGCCGCCGCGGCCAGCCCGGCCGCCGCCGGGGCCGACATCCAGCTCAAGTCCGACCGGGTGGGCAGATGCTCGATGTTCAGCGGCAGGGGCGGGCTCATGCGCAGGTGAAAGCGGCTCGGCGGGCCCCGGTGCCCGGGGGGGAACCCCTGGTCGGGGGTGGTGGCGCCGCCGGCCGAATGGGCATCCTCGGCCCCGGGTGTCGGGGCCAGGTCGCCCACCGAATGGGCCAGCCGCAGTCCGGCCAGCAGGGGCGCCCCCTGTCCCGGGGGCAAGACAGGCCCGGTGCCGGGGCCACCGGCCCCGCCGGCGATGGGCCCCGGCGTCAGGTATCTCATCGTGGGCGGCGCCTCGGCCAGCGGGGAGGGCGGCTCGCCTGCAGCATCGGCGCCCTGCATCCGGACGCCGATGGGCACCGACTCCGACCGGGCATGGCGGCTGCCGGGGCTCGGCTTGGCCAAACGCGGGAGCGGTGACAGGCGCCCGCCGGCCCCGGCGGCCGGAGAATGCCCGCCGGCCGTGCCAGCAGCCGGGCTCAGCGGCGACAGCGGACTGGCCGGGCTCAGGGAGTCGAGCCCGCTCCCACCGGACAGGAGATTCCCCAGGGACAGAGACCCCGCGAGGCAGCCACCGGCCTGCGCGGCCCCGGACCCACGCGGGCTGAACACACACCCGGCAAAGAGCGAGGCCACCAGGGCCGAGCGCAGGGAGGCCGCGATGATGGCCGTCGACAGGTCGGAGTCCGCGCGCAAGGCATCCAGCTGGCTGCCGGCCGCGGTGAAGAGGTCCGGTGCCGGGTCTGGCAGCGGCAAATCCGGCGACTGGCCGCCAAACAGCAGCCACCCAAGCACCGAGAGGGTGAACGGCCCGGACGGGGCGAAGATGACATTCGGCCGCGGCCCGGCGGACAGGGCCACCGGCCGGACCAGGCCCACGTCCTCCAGGGCCGAGAGGATGCGCCAATCGGTGGCCGTGCGGGTTTCATACTGGCCATTGGACAGCAGCCGGCTGAGGACCGCCACGCCGGGCTGCAGGATCCCCGGGACCAGGGGGCCCCCGGCGGCCATCGCCCCGAGCCCGGGGCTGGTGACCGTGCTGCCGGGGCCCCCGCCGCAGGGCGGCGGTACCGAGCTCAGGAGGCTGGTCGAGGCCGAGTGAACCAGCCGCCGGCCGGGGGTCAGGGCCGAGGCCGGGGTGGTGGCCCCGGTGGCACGGGGGTCCGGCACCCGGCCCGGCGGCGTGCGCGCCAGAATCCGCACCACCGTGCACAGCGCCCGGCCAATGGGCAGGAGGGACGCCTCGCGTGCCAGCCCCAGGGAGGTTGTCAGCCAGAGCCGATAGCACACCCGTCCCGAGGTCGAGGGGGAGGAGGCGTCCCCGGTGCCGGCATCCCCCGCCTCCAGCAGGGTCAGGTCCGTGCCGGAGGAGCGCGAGTGCGACAGGAGGTGATCCGCCGGGCTGGGCGTCGGCGAGGCGGCCCGGCCGGCGGCGTCCACCCGGCGGAGGACATCGGCGCTGTGCGATCGCCCGAGGCCGCCGGAGGTGCCCGGGCTGCTGGGGTCCATTCCGGCGGCGGCGGCGGCGGCGGCGGCGGCGGCGGCGGCGGCCCCGGGGGCGTTGGCCGATCCCGGGCCCGCCGCGGCGCTGCCCGCCCCCGAGGGATTCCCGGCCGAGCCCGGAGCCTGGGCGGCCCCGCCGCCGGCCGGACGCAGGGCCGACGCGGCAGCCGTCAGCATCTGCACACAAGTGACCGCCAGCCCGGGGTGGCCACCAGTTCGGGCACAAATGTCCACGGCAATGGCATCGCCATCGCCAGGGAGCCCGAGCACCGGCGGGCGCTGGGGCCCGGCCGCGGGGAGGGCACCTCCGCCACCCCCATCCACCGCGGCGGGGGCCGGCGCCGACAGGCCTTCCCGCTGGAGCCCGGCATCCGACCGGAAGGACAGCATCGTCGTGGGGAGGGCCTCGGCCGAGGACCGGCCGAAGGTCCAGCCCCGGTCGTGGGACACCTGCTCCAGCAGGGCGGCCACCTGCTCCGGGCCCCACAGGCGTAGGCGCACGCGCGAGCCGGGAGGCCACACCCGGAGCAGAGCCAGGCGCGTCTGGGCGCACGCGGTGCACACCTTGCCCCGGGGCACGGGGCTGGCCACCGGCGGGGGAGCCCCCCCGGAGCCGGGGTCCGTGGCAACCGGGATCGGCCGCTGCAAGTCGCACGCCAGCAGCCGGGCGCACGATCGCGGCGAGCCAAAGAGAACCACCGAGCGCAGAACCTGCCCCGGGTCCCCGGACCAGTGTGCCGAGCTGAGCGCCCGGGCAAAGCTCTCGATGACCGCCGGAGAGGCGCACCGCGACAGGGCATCCACCCCGTCGATGATGAGCAGCGTCCGAGCCGAGGCCGGGGGACAGGAGCAGGCCGCCTGCGGCCGGGCCATCCCCGGGGGCTGGACATCGTCCAAGGACCGCCAGGCCGGCCCGCGCCGAGCGCAACGTGGCGACGCCAGCGGCGGCCCCCCCGGAGCGCCTGCCAGCAGCCGGGTCGGCAGCTCGGAATCCGATGCCGCCCGTCGGAGACCGGAGGAGCCGCCCTCCGGGCCAGGGCCCGGCCCGGCCCCGGGCCGCCCGCCAGCAGGCTGGCCACCTTGCTCGCAATCCGGCCGGTGCCAGCGCGACAGCTCGTCCTCCATGCCCAGGTCGCCGGGGCCCGGGGTGGCCAGCGACTCGGAAATGGCCCCAAGAGGCCCGCCCGCCGCGAAGATGGCCTTGAACCAGGCCAGGCTGGCCTCGAGCCCGGCCCCGGCCGCCGGCAACGTCGGCGACAGGAGAAAGGGCGGCGTGGCGGCCCCGGGCGGGAAGCCGGCCCCGGCCCCGGCCCCGGCCCCGGCCCCGGGCCCGGGCCCGGGCCCGGCCGCCGGGCCAGGGAACGACAGCCCCGGCGGTGTTGACCGCCCGGCACCGAAGGAGGCCGAACGGCGGAAGGCCGCAGCCGCGGCTGCCGGCCCGGGCGGCTCCTGCCCGGCCGGCCCATCGCCCCCAGAGGCATGGGCATCGCCCATGGCCATGGTGGTGCTGGTGGCAATCGCCGCCGGGTGAAGATGCTGGTGGAAGGATGCCTGGCGGCGTGGGTGCAGGGGGTGGTCGGACACGGGCCCGGGGACGGGCGACACCTGGCCCGGCGGGTGGAGCCCGGCAGCGACGGACCCCGGGGCCAGGTGAAGCATCGAGGCCGAGATGTGGGCATTCAACTGTTGCCAGAAGACGGCCGGGTCGTGAAAGGCCCCGGTGGCGGTGCAAGCGCCGACGGACCCGGAGGGAGGGGCCCGGCCGGCCGCCGGCCGACCCCCGCCGAGCCCCTGTGGCCCGGGGGAGGGGCCACGGCCGGACGCCGCCCCGGCCATCCCCTCGCCATGCAGCAGGGGCGACAGCGGCGACGGGGCCGCAGAGTCGCCGTCCGGCGGCTGGGTGCCAGCACTGGCGGGCGGACTGGGCGAGGAGGGCTTGAAGATGTGCTGCTGGCGGAGCTGTGCTTGGCGCCCGGGAGGGGCGCAGCAGCACCAGGATGAGGGAACCTGCGGGTGGAAGTAGCTCCCGAGCAGGGCATTTCCCCCGCTTTGGGGAAGGGTGATGCTGGGGACGCGTGCATCCGTGCGACCGCCCGTGCAGCAGGCAAATCCGTCGGGAGGGGGAGGGGG